TTTCAAGTATTGGTATTGTAGGGATTTTGTTTGATTGCATGGAGGATTTCATCATGAGCTGATATCAGTTAGAGAACCACTGGAATTTATGCGTTATAGTAGGATATAACTCCATATGACACACTATGACGCAGTTTTCTAACTGAATAAACATTCGGTAACAATTTGTTTCTATGTTGTCGACCGTCAAGCAAAGTCTTATATAGGATAGTTCGGAGATTTGCCTGTTGTTCAGAAAATAAATCAATTTTCAGACAACTTTCCGAACACCTAATTGACTTATGTTGCTAAGGAGTTATTAGACAGTGATTTTTTGGGGCTAAGGAAATCGTGTGTAACTCAAAAGGGTACCAGCGGCAAAAAATCTTTTATTGGTTATTATTCTTGAGTAATATTATATAAAGTTTCGAAGGAAATTCGCAAATTCTCAAAATAATATACCGAAACCGAAATTTATTCATACCATCACAATATGTAATCTGTTTTATGCCAATAATGGTAACCAGTAGGGCAAGTATAAACGCATGATGTCATATACTACTGATTGACTAATGTGAGCAGTTGGATTCTGCTCACATGAACTAGTAGTGTTTCTTAGCCTGAAAGAATTAGTGTGATTATATGTAACGCTAATCAGATGATACTTTCAGTAACTTTTTGCAGAGAATCAATTGTTCAAAGTGTAGGCGATGTCAGTCTCAATCTATTCCTGAAAATTTAGCATCTAAATTTTGCCTTTGTGCTGTTTTGCAATCAAGTCTATTGAATAACACTCAGTTTTCCGAGTCAGTACGCTTGGAACATTTTATATTTGACAGTCTTGTTTGGGTGTCACTTACTTTTTGTATGGCTGGTAATTTTTTTAACCTTTATCGTTGTTAGTCGAGAAGTTGCGCCAGCTTTCTACCAACAAGTTTCAACAACCCCTAGTTGAATCCCATACTTGTCCATTTAAATGAAGAAAACATCCAGACTTGAGTAAAACAATGTATTGTGAATGAATATGAGAGAACTTATATATATACTTTCAGAATTGCCGCTTTCTACGGAGGACTGGTGTAAACTTGCTCTTGATTGTATTTCTGGTGAGTTACCAGGACCCCACAATTCAAGAATCCTTTAAAGTGATCAGCCCATTGTTTGATTTGTTTCCCCTCCTTGATAATCTGGTTTCCTTGAGAATCTTTTATTAGTTTCATCATCTGGGTTGATCTCTTTCCGTGTAGAAACCTTTTTTTCTGATATAGTGTCCTGAGATATCTTTTGCCTGAGGCTTGTTCTGCTTCAGTTTCTTTCAATGTGTTGTAGAATTGTCTTTTGTCTTTTCTATATTCTTCTTCACTTCTCTCTTTATTCAGTGCAGTGTACATTGAACTCAGTTTCTGATTCTGCTATCCATTTTTGCATTGAGTCATCTTCTCTTCCACCATCCTCTTCTCTTTGATTATCGTCAGGTAGGTTTCCGTTGACAGCCATTGATCGTCTTGTCTCTTCCTTCTTCCCAGGACGGTTGTACATGTTTCCTTGAACATCACCCTCAGAGAGTTAGTTCCAAAGTTCTTCCACACAGGTTTCCTCAGCGATGCCACGGAGGGTGTCCAACTTTACTCTGATCTGATCTGTAGGGAATGTATCCTTTATAGTTCCATCTTTCAGTTTCTGAATGTTGAACTTTAACTACTGTGGTCTGTCTTCATTTGTTTTCATGGATTTCAGCTTCACCTTGAAGGTCCCAGTCAATGGGTGTACCACTGCGTGAATAAACTGGTTGATCCTGCCAGTAGTCATATGCTTGTCTCAGAGATTAAGCCATGCGTGTCTAAGTACATACCTTAAAACGGTGAAACCATGAATGGTTTATTAAATCAGCTATGGTTCCTTAGATCATATATGCTACATGGATAACTGGAGTAATTCTAGAGTTAATACATGCAATTATGCTCTGACCCGCAAGGGAACGGGTGCATTTAATAGAACAGAACCAACCGGGGGCAGTTTTGGCTGTCTCTGTTTAATTCTGTGATGACTCTGGATAACTTCAATGATTGCAGTCGGCCCTGTGTCGGCTACGGATCTTTCAGATGTCTGCCCTATCAATTTGTTGGTGGGTGATCTGCCTACCATGATAATAACGGGTAACGGGGAATCAGGGTTCGATTCCGGAGAGGGAGCCTGAGAAATGGCTGCCACATCCAAGGATGGCAGCAGGCACGAAAATTCTCCGAAAAGAGACTCTTCGCTGATCTACGTGTTTTGTTTTCATTAACAGAAAATAACTTTCAAGTATTGCTTTTGCAGAGATTTTGTTTTCATTGGTTGGAGGACTTCATAATAAGCTGACGTCATTTAGACAACCACTAGAAAACCTGGGCGTACTGGTCGGCTGTTTCGTCCTGCTTCGTCAGTACGGATCCACAGCCAAGGTTCAAAACCAGCACCTTCCGGTTACAAAGTTAGCGAGCTTGTAGACCATTCTGCCACTGTGATACGATCCAATGGCAAACACATGAATCCTAACGTCTGATAATTCACGACATAGCACGACCACTTCACAATGTCTTCTTCGATGAGTAACTGTCCTCAACTTCGACGTGCTGTATCCTACTGGTCACGGCTTCTCACGTTAGGTTGAAGTTGAGGCAGTAACTCGTCAAAGAAGATATTGAGAAGTGGTCGCGCTATGTCATGAATTGAAAAGTTAGAAATCATGGGCTGGCCATTGGATCAGTTCCCAGTAGCTGAATGGTCAACAAGCTCGCTAGCTTTGTAACCAAACGGTCGTGGGTGTGAACGTTGGCGGTAGGATTGTACTGCTGATGAGTCCGAAAGTAGGCTGATGAAGCAGATGGCTATACAGTACTCCTAGGTGGTTTTCCAATGGTCCTTTAGCTGACGTCAGTTCATGAGAAAATTGTTTATCCGATTGTTTGGTTCGTGATATTTTATTTTTTTACTACCTACTGCTGTGTGATCGTGCGACATGCCAACAGATTCACAACGGAAGAATCGTTGAGGCTTTAGAAGTGTAGCCAAGGCTGCCAAATATCACCTGTGACATTTTTGATTGTGGTGTATTGGATCATGGCAAAGAGAATGGGCGACAAGAAAATGCGCATACGTTTGACCAATAAGACGATTCTACAAGACTTGGACGTTGTGGATGATTTATGTCTAATATCACACAAACCCGAAGATATACAACAAGGGGAAAACCAATATGTCTGCGGAAGAAGCAGCAAAGACAAGACTTCAAGTGAGCACAGAGAAAACAGAGGTGATGAAGACACCCAATGACGGATAATAATAACAACAACAACCTCCACTTATTATCAAAGAAGCAAATCTAAAGGGAATCACCCAGTTTGCTTAACAGGGCAGTATCGTTTCAACAACAGGCGCCAAGAATTAGGATGCCGAATTCAATTACAATCAGGGGAACGACACAGACCCTGATCACTCCGAAATCAATGTAGAAATCTGCCTGGATCTTCAACACTAATGTTAAGTTAGTACTTCTATGTATGGTTAGAGTACTGTAGACTGTCATCAACACCTGCCTTCAGTCTATGTTGAAGGTCAGATGACTGGAGAGGCTAAGCAACATGGAACTGTGCCATGCAACAAACCAACCTAGAATCTGTTAACACGATTACATCATGAGGTGACATTGGTTAGAGAACCATTGGAAAACCAACAAGGGAATACTGGACAGCTGTTTCGTCCTAGATTTGGACTCTTCAACAGTACGCACCCACTGCTAGGGTTCGGACCCAGGACCTTCTGGTTACAAGGTGAGCTCGTAGACTCGCCGAAAACATTGGCTAGTGGCAGCGCTATATCGTGAATAGGCAGAAGTCAGAATTCATGGGCCATTGGATCAGGTCACAGTGGCTCAATGGTCTACGGACTCGCCTTGAAACCAGAAGGTCTTGGGTTCGAACCCCAGTGGGTGCGTATTTCTGAAGAGTCTCAAACTAGGCTGACGAAACAGCTGTCCAGTATTCTCAGGCTTTACTATGGTTCTCTAACGGATGTCAGCTCATGATGAAATCCTGTAACCAATCAACCAAATCCCTACAAACCAATGCTTGAATATCAACCTAGAATCAATTCCTCAACAAATAAAAATAAGGAAGTGAAAACTTACTTACTCTGAGATTACTGAGTGACATCAGATGCCGATACCTCAAGTGAAACTTGACTAGGAAACGACAAGTTGGGCTTTGGTTCAAAGGGGACGTAGAGGGAATCATGTGAGGAGGAAAACAAAGCCTATGGGCAGTCGTGGAGAGAGATAAGAAAAGGATTGTCGAAAACAGAGCGGTATGTGAATGCGCTGCCTAAGCCCTCTGTTTCACTCGGTACCTAAAAAGATAATTATAATAATAATAATTACGGTATTGATAGTATAGCGTAATCATAAGCTATACCCTTGGCTTTTATGGCTGATTCGGCTAACTGAAGTTTAAAGTAAACGTGTAGTTAGTCCCAGTCGCATTAGGAATATTACTTCTGTATGTAGCCAATGAGTTTCACATATGATAAGACACTAGTCTTAAATGAAAATAAAAGTCACCAGTAAAAGAAATTCCTCGTAATAAAAAGGCCTGTTCAGACACCTGTGTATGAAATATCCTGTGAAATCACCAAACAACCAGCTTATAAGTATGCACAAAGAATAGTTAATACTATCTGTTCAAATTTCCCAAAATGCAATTTATCATATTATCAATACAAATCACTTAAATCTATTTCCCTCAGAAATTCCCATTACTGAGTATATTTTTCCTATTTCATACAAATAGAACATCCTTAGTGAGCCATATTCATTCAATCTGTCTGTCTAAAACTAACCTATGACCTTCACAAGAGGGACAACCCACGCAAAATGAGATAAACGTGATTGGCTACTGTGCCTAGAGAAAAAGAAGACCAATCAGCATTCAGAATACAGTTAAGAAATATTTATGAGTCTGATTAATTTGATCCGTCCAAATACTTATTGATTTCATGATTCTTTGACATAGTTTTAGCAGAAAAAAAAGAAAAAGAAAACCAGCAAAACCACAGGAAACAAACGAAACATCAACAAGGCATGTACACTTCCTGAGTAGTTTTCCTTTCAATCTACGTGTTCATCAAAAGACGCAATAATCATGTACAAAACTCTGACTGACTGGTTGTCTGAAGAACTGCTTCCGCCTCAACCTGATCCAAGAGTTGCTGACTACCCATTAATGTCTACATGGATGCCATCTGTATTGATTTCGCTAGTTTACAGCATCGGTGCATATATTTGGCGTATGGAATTGATTCGAAGACATGGAAAGACGCAAAGAAAGTATTCAAAGGAGAAACTGAAACATCATGAAAAATGGTCGGTGTTAACATATGCAATGATAATATACAACTTTACCATGGTACTGTTTTCTATCTACTTAACAGTATCAAGTTTCCGTTCAATCTATGAACTTGGTTATGGTTTAGGCTGTATTGAACTGCCAAATCCAATGGATAAGCGGACAGATATATTAGTCTATTATGGTTATTTGTTTTTTATTTCAAAATTTATTGAAATGATGGATACAGTGTTCTTTTTGTGTCGTGGAAAAGTGGATCAAGTCACTTTCCTGCACGTATTTCATCATGCATCAATGCCACCATCAGTATGGTGGGGTTTAAAATATGCTCCTGGTAAGTATTGAATATTATATATATATATATCTGCCTCGATGGAGTGATTGTTTAAATTTTTTTCAGCCCAAGAAAATGGGCTTCTTGATTTGTGGTAGGGCTTCTGTTAATCTGACTTAATTTCTTTTAAATTGGGCTTAAATGCTCGGTGTTTATTGGCATTTCGCGTCCAAGTACGGAAGGTTTGACGATGTCTGGCAGTAAATTATTTGGCTAATGATGGGGTCTAGCAGCGAAATCGAGAATGAGCATTCTGTCTTATTCTGAGACTCATCAGATAGATGTAGTTGCATCCCCAGTGAGACTGGTTTAACATATTCCAGATGATGAGGGCTGGGTTCTAGTCTTGGGTAGAAAACCATTGCTCATTAGGGAATGCTAGTACCTTCAGGAGATAAAATGCCTATCTAGGATTCTATTACTAGACAACATCAATAAAATTAACGATGTATCATTGTATTCAGAGTAGGTTAGTGGAATGTCTGCTTATATTGATTACGTTGTCAGTAATACTTTCATAATCTCTCCGCTTCTCCTTCTTGTCTATCAGATATATTTCAGTTAAAGGTGAATTAGAATTACATATATTAAAGCCAACTGTATTATAAGTATAAGGAGGAATAGTAGCAGTGAGTAAGACTCAGTTGGTTGGAGGATTTCATCATGAGCTGATATCGGTTTGAGAACCATTGGAAAACCTGGGAGTATTGAACAGTTGTTTCGTCAGCCTACTTTCGGACTCTTCTACAGTACGCACCCACACTGCGAAGTTAAAACCCGGAACCTTCTAATTACAAAGCTAGCGAGCCCTTAGACCATTAAGCCACTAAGACCCGATCCAATGGCCGGCCCATGAATTCTAACTTCTACCAAGTCACGACATAGTACAACCATTTCGCAATGTCTTCTTCGATGAGTAACTGTTCTCATCTTCGACGTGCTGTACAGTACTGGTTTCGGCTTCGTAATAGAACCCCAGGTAACTGCCTGAATAGGGCCAGTTTCTAGTGAGCATCAGATCAATTTTCAAACATAAGCAGAAGTTAGAATTCATGGGCTGGCCATTGGATCGGGTCCTAGCGGCTAAGTAGTCTACGATCTCGCTAACCCTGTGACCAGAGGATCCTGGTTTTGAACTTCGCAGTGTCGCTTCGTACTGTAGAAGAGTTCGAAACTAGGCTGACGGAACAGATATCTGTCCAGTACTCCCAGGTGGTTTACCAGTGGTTCTGTAACTGATGTCAGCTCATGATGAAATCCTTCAAAAAAATCAGAATTATTTAAATTTCACACCTCAGGTAGAGTCATACGGTGACGTATTTCTGTGGCTCTTCAGGAAATTTACGTTTCTTTAAAACTAGAACATTCCTCTATGCAGTTGAAAATGTTCTTTTGGTAAATAATAATCCTTTTATTCCAAACAATAATGATCACATAGAGTAGAGTTTCTAGAACCATTCATACGGTTCAAATTTATCTCCTTTTACAGATAAAAGCAAGTTAGATGACCGCAAAACACTGAAATTCAGTAGTAGGACAATGTTTATGTGTGTGAATAATGTAAGGAATAAGTCCCTGATTATCTACACAATATACGTTAGATTTATTAGTTAGTTCTCCACTAACATTTGTGTCTCCCTTCACACAACACCAGTGCTAATTTTGATAGAGATCAATTCTGATATTTAGTAGCTATAGAAGCATAAACTCTTATGAAAATCCAATTGCTTGCAAGAATTAAAGTGCCTGTCAAACAACAACAATGTCAGTTAATTGAGTAGAAAGCACACACACCTTTAACCCTTCTTACAGCCTTCAGTGTCCTACGTAATATGACAGAGTCTTTTGTGAGAAGTACATGGGAGAATAAGAGAAAAAAATAAATAACAAGGGGATGAGATAAATGAATTAATAAGTTGTAAGAGGAAAGTTCGAGTTATTCCGGAAAGTCTCCCCATTCGTACATAGTAAATTTAATCTGTTTTTTAAATTTTTATATGATTCATATGGCACTCATCAGTGCCATCATCATCTGCAACCTCAAAAGAACTCATGTCCTTTCTGAGATTCAAATTCGCGCCACCCACTGCTGCAGTTAGAGACGTTACCATTGAGCTAACCTAGATTCAAGGCTTCCTGCTGTTTGCCTCCAACCATCTAATATCATCAAATCAATATGCAACGGGATGGCAAGCCACCTAGAATGGTGAACACATTGCAAACTTGACTGATAGAATTCAGTCTGCACCAAAGTAAGGAGTAGACAAATCACTCTAGTTACTGACTAATGTCCAATCAAAGTATGTTTATTCTATCCATTTTATGGACAATTGGGCCACAAAACTGAATAGTGAACAACTGCAATGTTTTTAATTTCAATCCGTCTTGTGGAGTCTCTTATCAGAAACCAATTATTTTGATATTTAGGCATTTTGCTTTCCTCATATTCTGCATCTCTCTTAATCAGGATATCAGTAATTTCAATTTCTATTGAAAAGTATTTCTTCTGTCATATGTGGCTGGGACCCTTCTTAGTTTCATAACGTGTTTCTTTTCTTAGTAAAATCATCCATTGGACTTATTCTATAAGGAAGTTTTAAAATTTCTGGAATAACTCAATCTTTCCTCTTACAACCTATTTACTTATTGTTCGCCCTTATTCCTTCTTGATCTTCTCAAAACCAACTATCATAATACGTCGAACACTAAAAAGTGTGATTAGGATCAGTGGTGTGTGCCTTTAACTCTACTAACTGATATTGTTGCGGGTTGACAGTCACTTTAATTCTTGCCAGCCATTGGCTAACATCATCTTTATTGGCAAATTTCATAAGAGTTTATACTTGTACGGCTATTAAATATCGAAATTCAACCATACCATATTCATTGCGGGTGTTGTATGGATGGAGACACAAATGTCAGTGAAGAACTAACTGATAAATCGATTGTATAATGTGTGAATAATCACCAACTTATTCCTTACATTATTCTTACACCCTCATGCATTGTTCTACTAGTGACTTTCAGTTTTCAACATATGTAAAATGCTGATAACTTTTCAAGTGCCGGTTTAAAGTAATTTGATTTGTTTCAACTTTTACCGAGGATTTTAATCATTTGCAAAAACACTTGTAACCAGCAGTGAGTAGTGGACGACTGCTCTCTCCATGTTTAGGACTTTCAGGCACCAGAAACCCACTGGGGTTCGAACCCACAGCCTTCAGGTTACAAGTCAAGCTCGTAGACCATGCAGTTGCTAACATATGAACATTTATGCATTGACTGATATTTAAAAGCTACAGGACACGGTTGCCTAGATTTCTAGTGAGAAGTCATGACTAGTGGAGTTCATCACTATATTTTGGGAGCAAGGACAAATACTCAGCCCCCAAGGATATCGGCTAGTGGGTCGTGTTAAAATCATTAATTAATGCAAGTTAGAATCAATGAGTCCCAATGACTGAATGGTCTACGATCTCGCTAGCCTTGTAACCTGAAAATCGTCGGTTTCGACCTCAGTGGGCTGCGTACTGTTGATGAGTTCGGGACTAAGACGAAACAACTGTCCAGTACTCCCTTGTTCTCACTGATTCACTAAATAATATCAGTTCGTGGTTCAACTTAGAAAATTATTGTTTGGAATAAAGTGATTACCATATTTCTTTTAGTATATTATTAAATGCATTACACGATATCATCTGTAAATGTTTATACTGTCTTCGATAGCTTTGGACATCCGGAATATTTATCATTGCTACATGTAATGCATAAGGATTGAAAGTAGTAAATTAGAAGAAAACTAGTTCAGACCATAGGATTCCAACAGGCAACCACTGGATTCGCATTAAATCAACTGAAACCACATTGAAAAGTATGAAACAGAAAAGATTCGCAGTTCATTTAATCGATATATCTCTTGCCAACTGTTGACATCTTGAATAATGAACGTGTAATAGTTTCATTACACTTTTAACACAAACCACTTAGAGTTCATCAAACAAAGAAATGTCGATCAAAAATTATCAATAATCATGGTATGTATACATGAATTTTAGCATCCACAATTGCTCTAATAGATGCAGAGTAGAATTAAACCTCAGAAAGTGTACTACGGAACAAGTATTAGATGGAATAATAGTCAGTTAGGGAGTTTCAACTGGCGTTTAAATACATATAGAATGTATGGTGAGATAAATAGTTTGTTCTGGAAAAATATGTTTAAGCACAGTACAGGATCCCCAAAGTAATTTCATCAAGTAAAATACTAATCGATAGTATACCTTGGTGATACAACATTTTTCTGCCTGAAACAAATTTCATTCCCTTTACGACATTACCCTCCACACACACTCAGCTTCTTCTTCAAGTGCCGAGCAGAATTTTTTTATTATCTTATTCCTTTACACTCCCAGTGGAACACAGGGCTTCAAAGTAGAGCTTTGAAGTTTCGGTAGCAGTGGTATTTATTTTTCAGGATGTGGCTGCTAGCCTCACGCTCAACCTTCCCTCTTTACCAGTCTTATTACTGGCTCAATGAGGTAGAGGAGTATGTTGGCTGAGGATCGAACCCCGAACCACCTGCTTTGTTGGCAAGCATTCTACTGCTGTGCCACCGACGCATCACTGCTCAGAATAGTAGATTTGATAGCCAATTAAAAATTTGTATAAGGACATGTTGCGATCCGAATACAACAACAACAGCATCAACAACAGATGAAAGGTTTATTCCGAGCTAAATGCCTACACTGATCACGGAATTCTCAGAGGTTGTTTGAAAGCCAGTTGAAACTCTACGTGAATACATCTTGCAACTCAAGGACATAACTAAATGGTTGAGACAATAAGAATTAGGGAAAATATGATGCATTATGTTGGGTAGAAATCCAGACAGTTCAGTGATTCAAGCAAGCCGCCAAGGTCACATATAAATAATTGGAAGATTAAAACAACAAGAAATCAATAAATGTTAGTGCATTATCCTGGTTGGAAATTCAGTTAGC